ATTATAACCCCTCAAACAAACTAAACAAGCCATAAGGAGAGGTACTTACAATGTGTGAGAAATACTCCACATCGTATTTCTCTAGATTTATTTATTTAACGCTTTTTATCTGATTTTTTAAAAGCAATTTCCCCACTACAATTTAATGATTTAGTGCTCCCACAACAAAAATTAGTTAGGCCGACCTATATGTTTTTTTTGTAACATGCATACCTAAACTTTGGGAGTATTAGGCGAGTCTTCACTCAAAAGGCAATAATCAAGTCCAGTAAGAATTTCTTGCATTTGAAAAGAAAAATGGAAGAATTCAAAATATAGCATTTTCAGCATAGCTTACAGCACTCTCTTCTTGTTAAGTCAACTGTATAGTTCACGGACAACCTTATAGACACAGACATGATGTATTGGTTGAAGAATGATCATGGAGCTGTACATGCTTTCCCAGTGGAGGGGAAAAAGGAAGACTGAGGAGGTGATGCTGTTTATGTACATGATACAAGATGGTTTCTTAGATAGCGTTTTTACCTCGAAGATATACTGACTGAAATTTCTGGTACAATGTCGTCTGTGAAATGCTGGTAAACTGATCCTGCATGAAAACAATGGAATAACTGATCCTGCATGTGAACAATGGAGACTGAGCTAAAAATTATTGTGGCATCTTGTTAGGTAACGACAGTTTGAATGAGGATTTAAAGCTTAAATCACGGGGTTAAAGCCAGGAATGACATAAAATAATGAGGTCATGTCAGAAGAAATTTCAGTATCAACTTTTGTAATAGACTTACTGTTGCTAAATTGTACGAGGATTGAGCCAGAATTTGTTTAGAGCACCTTCTTGTCTTGAGTTCTCTCCTGAGATTCCAGGGGGATGAAAGACAATACCCACAATCTACAGAGATCACTTGTAGCAATTATGAAATTTTACATCCAAAGAATGCTGTTTGTTTCTTTCCTATTGAAGATCAGTGGAATTGTAAATCAAGCTTTAAATATTGTGCTAGTAAAATTAATAGCTTACGACAAACTATTTGCAGCAAAAAATACAGGAAGCCTTCCCAGCTCTGAACTGCCCCACTTCCTCTTTTGGTTTGAAATTACTTGCTCTGCTGATGATCCTGTTGCAGCAAGAACAAACTGAAAGACATGTACGTTATGGCCACCAAACTTCTCAGAGAAAAAAATTGATAAGTCTTACGACTGAGGAGAGAAGGATCTGTTAAGACATACTAGTGGAAAGAGAATAGCCATTATCCCATTGCTCACGAGAGGAGAGACAAAGAAAATAGCCAGAACACAAGGGCTTCCTGTTATATATTAATGGTGTTGAAGATGTTACAGCAGCCCCAAATATAAAAGGTAGGAAAACGATAAAAAATTTATTTGGAAAGTTTGCATGGCATACAAATGAAATGGAGGGAAAAACTCAAGTTAGACACAATTACCAAAACCAGCAAAGAATGCCCAGTTAGATTCAAAGAAAATCAGCCTGTTGCCAAGACTTACTTCAGAAAAGTTCCACTTATACCTATGATGAAATTTAAGAGCCTTCAAGCCATTGCCAATATAAAAGCAAGAATAAAAGAAGGTTAAAAGTAGACGCATATTCACGACATACTCAAAACAATAGTAGGCATACATCCATGAAAGAAGTAGGAAATTGAGTGCCTTTCCAACAAATGGTATAAATCCTATGGCAGAAACCTGCATGTGATTTATGTGCATTTAAACACAACTATAAAAAAGGAAGATGAACAAGAATTCCATAACTACAAGGTTGATGGTTAGCACTTAACAAGCCAACAAAAGAAAGAAGAATATAAGAGCATAATAAAGGTAACTGTATTTCACCTCTAGGAAAAAGAAGATCAAAAGAAGTATTGGGTAGACCTGCTCCCCTATACCAATCAAGACTCTGCAGAAGAATTAAAAGAAAAATAAGTGGAGCTTATGCAGTTGGAACGAAGTATAATTGTCAATTTAAAGAAGAATTGCCCAGAATCAGCAGTACCCTCCAAGGCCACTTGGCCTTTCTGTCTGCCCTTTATTTTCTAAGATCAATGTGTCACTTTGTTTTGAGGGTTCTACTGAAGAAGGCTCAGGATCCCTCATTGCATCAAAACCAAGCTTTGCAATGTCATTATACCTGGATTAAAATGTTAAAATAACTTCACTGTAAAGCTTAAATAGGTAAACATTCTTCCCTTGAAAAGAAGAAGGAAGATCAAATGACAGAAAGGGATTACAGGGAAAAAAAAAAATTGTTATCCCTAACAACAATTACTTTAATGATAATATAAAATGTTATTAGAGAAGATGGCCCTAAATCGAATACCTACCTATGAGACAAAAAGTCTACAGTCATCGGATCATGGATGTAATGCATGGACATTCTAAAGATGAGGATATCATGATGTATGCTACCCTGGTTCAACTAAAAGTTACTTAAAACAGTCTGAGCCTCTGAGGGATACTGGATATGAATAAATGGCATGCAACCATCAAAAAACAGTAGGAGACGTACCAGATACTGCTGAGAACAAAGCTAAAGACGTACAGGGGATAGAACCAAAATATCTGCAATTGATTATTAAAAAAAAGTGATTATATACAGTGTACAGAAACTGAATTTTTTCTGATTAGGAGCAAAACCACAGAAAAAAAAAAAAAGGGAAAAAAAAGGTGTTTTGTGTAATTTCTGAAGCCTTTTCAACAAGTTGTGTAACAGAAACCTCTTGGTCCTAACATATTGAAAGTCACTGGGCAACTCCAGTACAATAATATTTCATTCACAGGTAATCCTAATATTCAAGCTAACTGAATTCCATCACGCAGGCCAAGTAGGAGAGACTACATAAAAGAACTTATAGAAGTAGAATATGAGTTCATTAATTGCATACTTACATAAAAGAGTTGTATAAGTCCAGCTCGCAAGTAGGAATAAAATTTTAAAATACCAGCAAATAAGGAGAGTTCTTGAGAACTATTCTCTGAGCACTGATCAGGTAACATCCCTTCTAGCACTGGGATGACAACAGATTTCAAGACAAATAGACTGCATTGAGATTAAGATAGAGATATTACAATTATTACAACACAAAGGTGCATGTTTTACAAAAGCACAGTTGAACGACCAGAAGAAAATTATCATATATGTTCCAGAATAGAGTACATGTGTCTTCTAAATTTCTTGTCAAATACTGAAAATCAACAAGAAAGAGACACAAGCATCAATCAAGCCAAACCAATTCCTAGAACCGTAATGAGCAATGAGCTAATGACCCACATTGCAGGAAAGTGTAATGGTTTGGAAATGATATCCTCATAGCTTTGTTCTCTGACAATGAGGATTCATTTAAAGTCAAACATTTTCTGTGTTCTATCAAAAATACAACTTTTCCGATTATTGTGGCTCATAAGCCTCCACAAATATGGAAAACTACATGCTAATTCAGCATTGATGTGTTTCCTCAAGCTAACTTCATCTAGTACTTGAAATAGTACTGAAGATGAATAAGTTTCAAAATTGAACACAATCAAACGAAAATTATCAAATTACATATAACAAAATTGTGAATGATGTATTATCAAACAGAAATTTAATAAAGGCCCATTTAATCAACTAGAGCTTCAATTCAGAAGAACAAGGTAAAAACTTCAAATTCAATGAGCTTCCAAAACAAAAACGAAAAGTCTCAACTACAACAACTATCCGGAGAGATAAATTACCTTCCTAAGAATATGAATCCATTCAATAGAAAACACTGCCCTGTTCTAATCAAAAGCTTTCTCGACCTGCAATATCAACAAAAACACGAACCAAACCCAACAAACTAATCTTTTTAAAATTCCAAACTTTCGTTTCAGCTATCGAAAACCCAGAAACCCCAGAATCAAAATAACATGTTTCTGTTCCCAAACCCAAGGTAGAAATAAAATCAATGAACGATCAAAACAAAGCGAAAAGATGAACCTGACACAAAGAATGACAACTCTGTGAAGACAACAGGCTTGCCCAAAACCCAATACCCACAACAAAGATGCTTGCTTTAATTTCGTTCTCATCGCCATTACTGATCTCTTTGAAACTTCCATTTCAATCCTAAGTATTTCGAAGAGGAAGACGGAATCGTGAAGGAGCTTTCAGCCTGATCTTCAAATAGCTAGCGTGAAGCTAAGTAACTTTTAGTGGTGGGTACTGATTAGAACGACGGTGCGGTAACCCATGATTTCGAAGGCATAATCATATCGAGCCACGTGTGTTCTTACGTGGCCCAAGAATGCAGAACAAATTCTAATGCAACCGGAATTATTGCCTGTTAGGCCCAACATCACAGTATCAGAATTCAGGACCGGGCCCAACGTAACCAGACATGTATTCTTGCCCTAGGCCCAGCTGTATTTTTAATCGATTTTGGAAAATGGTCTTTCTAGCAATGTTTTTCCATTTTTTGAAAAGAGGCAATTGTACTTCTTGTAGTAGTGGGAAAGGAGGTCCTCCGGGGACGTCTAAGTAATTAAAAGTCTTCACATTAAAAATCTCGAATTTAAATTTTGAGATGAGTAGGGAAGACCATTGCCTGTTATCTAACACATCATCCGATACACCAAAAAATAAGAAGCGCTGGGGAAGGAGGAAGAGGAACACATTCCGCAAAATGAAGCAAATAAATGCAATATAAATAAGGTTAAATGCTAAATTTGGTCCCTCATCTTTATAGAGTTGCACTTTTTTGATCCTTCAACAATTTTTTGCATTTTTTTTATCCCTCAACTCTAAAAAATGCACAACGTTGGTCCTTTTGTCAATTTGGACCGTTAACTCCGTCATGTGTCATTTTTTATATTTTTTTTATGACATGGAGAGCACAACTTAAAAAAGTGCTGATATGGACAAAATATTTTGTCATGTTATGTTCTCGCGACTCAAAGGCTCCAAATCCACTTAAATAGGCCCCACATTTCCTGCAAAGCACCAATAAAAAAAGCTGTCTTTTGGATTGCTCTTTCAAGAGAAAAAAAAATCTAATAACTTCTACAAAACAAAGAACACTGCACTTTCAAATAACCCAAACCCTATACCTTTTGGGATTGCAGAGAAAAAAATATATTGTTCTTGCCATCGTTCACCTTTGCCCTCTCTCTCTTTGTTCTCCTCACCACCATGAATGTTTCCAGCCTTCCTTACTCTTTCTCCTTTCCCCTCGTCCTCATCCCCTGCAGGAGACAATTTGGGTTCATGAGGAACCCAGAAGATGTGGGTTCCTCCTAAACTCAGATTTGGGTTCCTTGCAAACCTAGATGATTTGGGTTCATCGCGAACCCAGATCTAGGTTCGTGTCAAACCTAGAGCTTGAGGGAGTCTTCAATCCCACTACTCTTTGATTATACATCATCAATTTCTTTAGTGATGTTCAAAAAAGCATAGCTATGAGATTATGTCCTAGTCTGGTTGATGAAATAGGTGTGTTTGCCTTTTCAATTTAGTGTATTTAGCATAGATGGTTTTTTGGGATTCAATTAAGAGTCTATTTGTGCTATGGCATATGAAGTGCTTAGCTTGTTTCATGATTAACCGAGTGCATGGTTACTTTTATGTATTTGCATTAAAATGTCAAATTGAATTACTTAAGTTTTCTAATTTGGGTTAAATTGTATCCGATAAACTCAAACTATCTGGGTTCCTCATGAACTAGTTTGGGGTTCATTGCGAACCTAGTTCTTGGTTCTTCATGAGCAATTTAGGGTTCACAGGCGTTTTACCTTTTTTAGTGCTTTGCAAGCAATGTGGAACCCATTTGAGTGGATTTGGCACCTTTAAATCGCGAGAACATGACATGACATGATGTTTTGTTTTTTTTGTCTTTTTTTTTTTTTGTGTTGTGCTTTTGATGTGATAAATCAAATCAAAAAAATACCACATGGCGGAGTTAACAATCCAAATTGACGGAAAGACCAATGTTGCATTTTTTAGAGTTTAGGGATCAAAAAAATGCAAAAAATTATTAAGGGATCAAAAAAGTGCAAAAAATTGTTGAGGGATCAAAAAAGTGCAACTCTATAAAGTTGAGGGACCAAATTTAGCATTTAACCTATAAATAACCATTCAATGAATATAATAATCCTCCTGAGCTTTTTCCAGTTCAGAGGGCGAAGATACCACCACATTCTAGGCAAAAAGAAACAAATGGTACAATATGCATTGTATACCCACTGCTCAATTTTACATTGGCTTTATGTATCAAATGGGAAGAAAGTGTACATAAGGGAGAGACCGAAAAGCTCAAGTCTCATTGCGAAGCCAAAAGTATAGAGTGACAGGAAAATCTCACCTTTTCGGCTTACAAAAAGAATGAATAGCAGGGAGAAGGTGGAGTACTGAGTACACAAACGTGGACGTTGGCAAGGTATTTCCCAAGAAGGATATTGAGTTTTGTAGAACTGGTGGGATATGAAGGAGATGGTATCAAGTTGTCCTCAATGAATCCTGCCTTTTGAGAGGGATACCTTCGGGATCGACCCTACCGTCTTCCGCATGCTTTAATGAGCGCTTGGACGAAGACAAAGATGTTGTTAAACTTGGACCTGGGTCAGGAATATTGTCAATCAAATGTCCAAATGCCAGAAACAAGTCATGAGAACTTTCTCAATTAGATAAATGCTTTAGGCCAGAAAACAGAGCTAACTCAAAAGAAACAGTCCTAGTTTTCATGACTAACAACAAATGGAGTCTTCAGAATGGAAGCCTAGAAGGTTAAAGGGATAATAGGAAGGGCACATACCATCACCCATATCCTTAGTTTTGTGAAGAAGAAAAGTTCCCGAGAGGATAGTCACAAAGCCACACATCTCCGTCACAATTTGAGTTGGAGTTTGCCTATCCCAATCCTGACGAGAGACAATTAAATTTCAACCACATCGAGTTCAAGAGCAATCCAAATAAAATTGCAATTACTAAGAACATTATAATTAAGTAGATAATTTTTCACAAAATAAGTGTTGTGGCCCTGGTGGAGTGTAGAGCAAAGCAGTGAACTAAAAACAATAAACTTCAGCAAAATTCAGAACCTTTTGTCACTAGTAATTAGTCCATTCATATAAAGGTTCAAGGAAGGAGAGTCCTATGAACTAGTAAAAGATTTTGTCACTTAAAATGGGAGCCAGTTGCAAGTAAAAAAGCAACAGCAACATTATTCATAAAGTCAAATTTCTAAGGTCACAGACTATAGTCATTATAATAAGAGAAAAGTGAAAATCAAGATGTCTTGGCATTTAAAATACCAAGACTTCCAATGAAATTATTTAAATACCCTTAATTAATCTTGCTTGTATATTGATTCATCAAGGCTATTTAAATAATTTCATATGGAGTCCTAGCATTTTAATTGCCAAGACATCCTAATTTTCTGCAATCCCTTCTAATAAAATAAGAGCATTCTGATAGCAATACTTCAGGGATTACCTTAAACATGATTACACTTGCCAAGATGGTCAGTGATGTAAACATGACATAATATATAGGAGAAACAACAGCTGTGTTAAAAGTGTCAAGTGCCTGCAAATAGGAAAACATAGAAATCAATTGATTAAAATAGAGAACATAAATCAGGAGAAAGCAGAAGAAACATAGTGCCAAACATGGTTAGAACAAATCCCAGGGGAAAGGAGAAATAAGGGAGAAAATGAATCCAATAACTTGTAATACAGCCTATACAGGCCATCCAGCAACTGACTTAATCCTTGATTATAGGTTCAAAAAAAAAAAAGGATAAAATAACAAGAAGAAGATGAATTCCATATATCAGCACAATGCCAATATGGAATGATATCCCATCAGCTTTTTGTAACCTGTCTTTATTTAATTTCTTGTTATAGTGAAAAGCAAAATTTGATGAGAGTGCATCTTTTCACAGCCATGCAAAAGGCATAAATTTTATTTGAATATAGTGTTCACAGATTTCTTAGCAAAAAAAAATGGTAGAAAAAGATTGAACAAAAATTAGTGCTAAATAGATGAAAGAACAAGCTTTATATTCAACACCTAATAATAAGAACTTATGTTGAACATCAAAAAATAAGATGTTACTCATGCAGACTGGAGATAAGGAATTAAAAACCAAAGAAAAAGACAGTAAATTGGGGGCAAAGGGACAAATCATTACCTTATTCAAGTAGTTCATTTGGGTTAGCACACAAGTAATCACAATCAAAGTGAAGGCCCATGTTTGTGGATACATAAGCTGATTCATTCCAGAAAAAGTTAACTTCAGAGCAATTCCAAGTGCTTTAACACTCATAACCTGGCAAAGGATAACAATGTTGTAAAAATGTGTAGAAAAGTATAAGCACGTGAAACCAAGTACAGTGATGAACAACTAAATGAGATACACTACCGAAAGGGAACCAACAAGGGAACAAACTCCAATGTAGACCATTATGTGAGTCTGTCCATATTGTGGAATGAATTGGAATATAAGAACAAATGCAGCTGTTACAACCAAAGCTGCATAAAATAGAAAACCTGCCAAGAAGAGCAGAGAGGTTAAGCTCATTAATGCCCGCAGTTTAACAGTTTGTAGAGTGATGAATATGGAAAAAGAAAGACAAATCAATCAACATTTTCCCTCTTCTCTACATGATTATTCAGATGAAACAGTCTCACCTGGTTCTGTAGCAAGATCCCAAACTTCTATCACAGATTCAATCTGACGTTCTGGAGGAGCATGCAAAACAATTGTCGTAGAGCCCACAACACACAAAACACAGCCAAGAATTCCATAAACATGTAGCTTCTCCCGTAAAATGATATGTGCAAGAACAGCACTGTAAAAGAGAAATAATGATCAGTGTTTTGAACCAAAAGCTTAGACCCAATATTTGGAGTGACTTGTTTTCATGCCTGATAATTATGCTGAGAGCACCAAGAGGAGTGACAAGAATAGCTGGTGCAAATGCATAAGCTGCAAAATTAGCAATTTCTCCAACGACCACTGTTGCAATGAGAAATGGCTGTAAGAACTCACCAACCTTTATACAATTATTATAAACCATAATCAATTTAAATAGCTAACTATATCTTAAATCAACCGCCTGTCAGGATTCCTTGTTGTTTTACTACAATGTAAAAATCCATGACATTGAAATGGTGATAAGTTTCATATAAATAAAACTCACTTGTTATCATGCCTGCCCACCAAAGTGGCTCTAACAAGTAAGAATATCCTCCACTTCCTGTTTAAGAACAATAGATTGATGTCATTTGATGATCTGTAACACACAAGTAATTCAAAAATCATAGTAACGTAGACAAAAGTGATAAATCAGTCAGTCAGAGCAAATGCACCCCTAGAGATGCTATTATGCTACAAAGCAATAGATACAAGTAGACTGAGCAAGCAATCACCATATCTTAAATGCAGAATTTCTTATTTGACAAGGAGAAAAGAACTAAAGAACACTAGTACACTATATATCAGTAATATAATCCATTCCCCATCTGGTCCCATCCCCTCAATTGACCTCTGATGAAATGTTAATTTCTGAATCTAACAAGACATTGAGACCACCCACTCCAAGTTAACACCCCAATCCGGCATAGATCCTCAAAAGATCTAATAACTAAGAACAGCACAACGAATCTCAATCAGCCATTTTCAATCTAAAACCAAGCTAAATTAATCAGGTCTATGATCCATACAGATAAAGCAAACACTTAAAACAAAGAGTGCAAAAACATTGACAAACTGCAAAATTCAAACTTGGAAAATTTCAAAACTGCGGTACCTGCCCTGATACCAGAAGCCCCCGCCTTTTTCAACCCCTTCTTCTTGACAATGAAGCTGGCCCCAATAAATAAACTGGACGACAGCGCCAATACCAAACCCTTTATATTATCAGACGACATACCTTCTCTCCAGCTATACCAAGTGACCTCAGTCGACATGATGACCTCAAAAAAACGCAAAACCAAATCCTCTCCGTCAACCTATCATACGCCCCTAATCCTTTCAGTCAACCCTAATTCTCAGTTTCCCAACCTCTTGGACTTGGATTGAAATTCCGGTGTTACCGTAAGAACGCGTCAACGGATCTTAGAAAAAGGATAACACAGTCTACCGATTATTGACTCAGCTTGAAAGATACAAGAAGGATTGAAGCGAGATGAGATCGGAAAATCAGTCTATTACTCTGTTTATAAAGACCGACCGGAACCTTAACTCTGGTGGAATCGGAATGAGTCGACGGAGCAAGAGGATCTCGGACGGAGGAAGGAAGACAGTTGCTAGCGGTGAGGTGAGCTGTGAAGAGAGGATTACAGCTGGAAAATGGAGGTGCGGTGACTGGTGTGACTTTTGCCGAAATAAGGACTCCTTTCCGACTGAGGATCTACGCTGAATGCAACCCACCACCTCAGTTTTAAATTTTTTATTTTTTAACTAAAGTTTTTTTTTATCAGGCAAAAAAATAAATATTACTGTATAAAAAACACAAAGAATGTTAGAGGTATTATTTTCTTTTCGGAGAATGATTTTTTTTATTGGTTTGCGTTATTTTATTTCATTTACATATTATATAATTTATATTTATAATTTATTAGTTTTAATAAAATTATTACTGAACTATTTAGGTAATTTATTAAATGATATCTCTTTTAAATATTTTTTAATGATATTATGTTTTTTTTTAATTATAATAAATATGGGATAAAAAGTGATATTTTAAATTTTTTGACATAATTTTAATTAGTAACTTTTTTTTACATTTTTTACAATTTTTTAAAGAAATTTTTTTTTATAATTTTTTATATATAACTTATGTAATAGTTTTTCTCATTAACTTTTTTTATATCATTTTCTATCAAATAAATTAATATTTTTATAAAAATTTAATAAAATTTCATTGCGAATATTAACAATTTTACTCTATCATATATAATATATTTTAACTTTTTATAAAGTACTCTAAGAAACACTATCCTAAAAAAAAATTGTCCTATAATAGTTCGCCATTATCCAAACACACCCTTACTGTAAAACAAAGTTGTACTATTTTTACATTAATGCCGTTAGATTTGTTAATTTGGTGGAATTTGTAAATTTACAAATATGGACATCAAAGGCCGGAAATTAATGGTTTCCTTATTTCTAGACACCTTCTGAAAATCTAATCTCCGATTTTTTTTTTTTGTTTGAGTTTTATGTCAAATAATTTTATTTAATTGCATTTGGGCGTTTTGACCCAATTACATCAGATCATATATAAGTATATATTTTTTTTTTCAAAATAAGTATATTTTTTCTCTTTCAAAATAACAGTTCGAATCCAATCTTTTGTAAATTTATTAAAAAAATAATTTTATTTAATTAATTTTAATTATTATTAATTTATTATATAAATCATCAAGTCATATTATATTTACAAACCCAGTTATGAGTCATACGGATGGCAATTTTCCTCGTTTCCCGTCACAGGGGATGGGACGAGGAAGAATATTCCTCCCCGCAGGACAGGGACGAGGATCATTTTCTCCTCGCGAAAGTTTTCCCCACCCCGTGGGGCCCCACGGGGATCCCCATCCCAAAAAAAAAAAGTTTTTATTTTAAAATTAATTTATTCTTTAAACTCAAACCCAAACCCAAATTCAAATCCAAATCCAAAATCAAATCTAATCCAATTACAATTAAATTTAACCCAATACTATCCAACCCAACCCAACTCCCAACCCAACCCATTCCCCTACATTTAACCATAACCCTAATTTATTTTAATTCACATCACTCAATCTCTTTAACTGTAGCTTCACACATCTCTCACGTTCATCTCACCTTCAGTTTCCCTGTTGTTGCTGCTGCCACCGGAGCCATCTGCTGCTGCCACCACCGAACCCATCTGCTGCTGTTGCTGCTGCAGGAGCCATCTACTCTGCTGCTACTGGTGGACCCATCTGCTGCTGCTGGTGGACCCATCTGCTGCTGCTGGTGGACCCATCTGCTGCTGCCATCGCCGGACCCATCTGCTGCTGCTGTCGAAGCCATCTGCTGCTGTCGAAGCCATCTGCTGCTGCTACCGCCACCGGAGCTTGCTGCTGCTGTTGCCGCCGAACAGCCTAAGCCATCTCCTTTGCTACTGTTGCTAGAGCTATTTGATGTTAATTGGTGGGGAATGGGGATCCCCGTTCCCCGTGGGAAACGGGGACGGGGGCAAAATCTACCCCCCGCGAGGATCCCCATTCCCATGATTCGTGGGGATGGGGATGAGGAAGGGGTCCCTGCCCCCGCAGGGCCCTATTGACATCCCTAGTTATGACAACTAAATCACAAAAGGAAAGGTGTTGTAATGTCTTTACAATATGTTAATAAATAATTGGATATATAATAATATATTATATTATAGATTTATAATATTACATAATGTTGTAATTATGTATTATTTTTAATTTTGTTACTAACTGCAATTTGACCATCTCCACAATAAAAAAAATTCAGAATCTATGTAATTAATTTGCTAGTATTTCATTTTTTTTTTTAAATGCATAGGAATGCACAGGAACTAAAGTACCTCTTAAGATTTTATATGAATAAAAATACAAAATTTTAAAATTTTTCTAAATAAGGATATATCATTTTTTCATTATTAGTTAAGGTTACCATATTTCAAAATTTCATAATTAAGGATATAATTTTGTGATTTTATAAAAAACATTAAGTGAATGTGCAAAGTTATATCATTGATTAGAAACATTTAAAAGGTGATAATTTTGATTAATAAAATTTTCAAAGTTCAAATCTTGATTAAATATTTTTGAAAGATAATAGTCTCAATTAATAAAGAAAAAATTGTCATTTTCTTAATTAAAAATGTTTTGAGAGATA